TATCCATTGATTAAATCATATTTATTGGAAGATAATGGAAATTATTGGAAGATAATGGAAATTTAAGAAGTGGGGTATAGTGGACTGTGGAGTGTGACCTTGGAAAGTGTATTTTGTCCTTTGTTGTTTATGGCTTGTATCTAGACGTTCCCTCAAGTGCTCATCCATTTGGAGGGTGACTGCATCATAGGTGTGTGGTTCTGGACCGTGGTGTGTGATACTGTATTAGTCCACTGATTGGTTTAGCGTAGTTCTGGTTTTGGATGATGGACTTGCCAAAGGGAGAAGACCAACTGTGGGTGTGGGTGTCACCAAACAGTAGGCCTGCAGCTTTAATGGAGTAAAAACAGAAGGATGGCTTGCTACTTCCCGTTGGCCACGCCATGAACCCTTTCTCCTCATCCGTATGCCTTTGCCATGGTGCTGTGTGTGAGAACCAGCTGACTATGAACTGAAACACTGTGGTATCAAAATAAACCTTTCCTCTTTCACATTATGGATACTGGATTTTTTTTTTTGGCAGTACCGGGGATCAAACTCAGGACCTTATGCTTACCAGGAAGGCACTTACACCACTGAGCTAAATCCCCGGCCCCATGGATACTGGATATTGTGTCTCAGTGATCAGAAAGTAACTAAGATGTTGGCTCCTTCCGTTTTAGTTCTTCTGCTCTCTGCTTTTGGCTGCCACAAGGTGAGCAGTTTCCCTCCTCCATGCCTTTCTACTGAAATGTTCTGCCTCACCACAGGCCCAAACAGAGACACAGCCCAACCATGAACGAAAACCTCTGACTGATGAGCCAAGTAAAACTTTCTTACTTTGAGATGTTATTCTTAGACGTTTTGTTATAGAAACAAAAATGTAACACTTCAGAGTTGCAAAATTCTTTTTGATTTGGAAGCAGCAATTATCATTCCTTCTACCCTAAATGAGGATGGGATGAATGGATCTGTGAGGAAAAGTTTCACAAGTTTAGCTTAGACCACCACCTTGGTACGGAGTGTCATCAGTGAATGACTTTTAGATTCGACAAAATTGAATGTCTTTTTGATGTTAAATCGGGCCAGTATTAGTGACAGTGATGGTGGGCAAATAAGGTTAATAGTGAGAATGTAGGTCGTTCGGCTGGCATTTACTTCTCCATTTCCTCTAAATTCAGCCTTGTTTAGTATATTCCATCTCACAGCATATGGCTTAGGAAAAGTAGATCATACCTAGCTTCAAGGGCCAGATTAGTTCTGGAACTGTGATTTGTTCCTTTATTTAAAAAATACTGAAAGAACCCTATCATGTACCAGGCAATGTTTGAGGTGAATAGAAGAGCCTCAAATCACTAGCAATGAAACTGACATACTAGTATACATGTGGAAAGAGGTATAAATAACAAGGAAAATCCTCTAGTGGTAAAAGCTAAGCAGAAAAACACAGGTTTGGTGGAGGTGGATGGAATGCCAGAAGACAGCTTTGGCAAATAGATATTTTAAAAGGTGATCAAGGAAAGCCTTGATGAAGTGACATATACTTTCATTTCTTGCTTTGAAATTAGGTCAACTCTCCCACTGAAAGCAGAGGAGAAGTCTACTGGGAGACTTGTAGGAAAACATTACCACACAGCAAAGGTAGAGTTGCAGGAGAAACAATTGGTCTTTTTCCTCTGATGCGGTTATAATTGGATTGGAACCTAGGAAGAATTGCCGACACCTTGTGACTGGCTGGGTAACAGTAAGAGTGTCAGGGTAGAGACAGAGAAAGAAATTGGGACCTTGATTATTTTTCTGTGCCACAAAATTAACTGACCCTGAAGTCTGATCTGCATCTGTGCCTCTTGTAATGTGAAACAATAATTTTTCATATTGTATATGCCAGTTTAAATCAGGGTTTCCTTTACTTGTAGCTGAAGGCATTCTAACTGATGAAGAATATATCCTAGTAGCTTTAATGGACTGCAATAAACCACTTTTCAAAATTCTAAGTGTATAGGGATGAGGACTTAGGACATTTTATTCTAAACACTGACACTTTCTCATATACAATCTTTTATGTTGGCCCACCAGCTTCTCAGAATTGGAAGCAGTTGGGATATGGCTGAGCAAAAATGACCACCGTTAGATGTCAGTAGCCCAAGATATAAGGGAGTCCAGACACCATTCTTGAAAACTCATATTTAGAGAATCACATCCTAAGTCATAAGTAAGTACAGAGACGTGCTGAGGAGATGGAGAAGTTCATAGATGTGACTGAAGACTACTCTGCAAATAAACAGAAAGAGCAATTTCATACTATCGGGCTGGGCTGTTGCATTGCCGACTGTGAATGGAAATGACCCAGTGAGTGTGTAGTCAACCTCTAAAAATTTCTCATCTCAGCAGAACTGGCGAGAAGTAAACCTTGATTTCAGTCTCATAGCTGCCTACTATGGAAGGCAGAATAATGAACCTCCTGTCTTCCCAAGTTATCTGATTCCTGGGTCCCATTAATATGCTATGTTATGTGGGAAAAGGGACTTTGCAGATGTGACAAAAGTCATAGATCTTGGGATGAAGAGGTAATCCTCGGTTATTAGAGATGGCCCATCTTCACATAAACTCTTAACAGCAAAAATTTTTTAAAATTAGAGTTAGAGAAAGTGATGCCTGAAACTTCAGAAAAGATTTGAAACATGAGAGTAACCTGATATACTTTGTCTTTGAAGATGAAGAAGATGAACTATGAGTGAAGATATAGGGGTGGACCCTGGATGCTGTGAGCAGCCTTTAGCTGGCAACCAGCAAGGGCATGGAGATAACAGTCCCACAGCAGCAAGGAGCAAAATTCTGCCAAAGGTCTGAAACAGATTCTCCCCTAGAGCTCTGGATATAAGTTCAGTCTTGGTGACATATAAATTTTAAGCTGGTGAGACCCATGTCAAGTATCTTGAATATAGAACTGTGAGATAATAAATGTCTGCTGTTTTAAATTGCTAAGTCACCACAGTAATAGAAAATAAATATACCCACCTAGCACAGAATGGTGTCCGGAGTGGATAAGGTAGTAGACTGAATTACTGGATGGGTGGAGGGATCAGGGAAAGGTGAGAAAATGAAGTCCAGCCTTGAAGTGACCCAAGTAAGCAGGAAACAAACAACATGGTCTTGAGTGAGGGGTGCAGAAGACATGGAAATTAGTTGATAGATACAATAAATATCCATTGTTTCTCCAAACTAGTACGTTTACTACAAAAACCATGTTCTAGCTGGGTCAGTGGTTTGGGTTGGTCTCAGTCATATAGTTCTTATGTTGATCTCAGTTGGATTCACTCATACATCTCCAGATAGTTGCCAGTCAGCTAGGCAAGTGCTTTTGGGGTTTGACTTGTCAGCTGGGGGGGGGGGTGGTGGTGGTGGTGAGGGACTGGCTACAGTGAATTTATTAGCATCCAGCATGTTAATGCAGGCCTGTATACAAACAAGGTGGCTGACAGGGGTCTCATAGCAGTAAGAGGCATTTTTCGGTATTTGCTTAGATCATGATTCCCAATTCCTGTCAACCAAAGAAAGTCACATGTCTGTCCTAGAGTCAGTGTATTAGTTTGTCAGAGTTGCTATAGCAAAAGACTATAGGCTGGGTGGCTTAAACACCAGAAATTTATTCCCTCACAGTTATGGAGTCTGAACATCTATGATCAAGGTGTTGGCAGATCTGGGTTCTTCCAAGGGCTCTCTTCTTATTGTGGAGATGACAGTCTTCCTGCTGACTCTTCATGTGGTCTTTTGTCTGTGTGTGCATCCCTGGTGTCTCTTACTCTTATAAGGAAGTGGTCTAGAGTCCATCCTAATGGCCTCATTTTAACTTAACTGCCATTTGCAAATTCTTATTTCATGGCTACATTCTCAAACATTAGGAGTTAGAGTTTCAACATAAAAATTTGGAGAGGACACAGGTAAGCCCAAAACATTCAGTGTGAGAGGGAATTACTTAAGGTACAGACATGATAAGTAAGAAAAAGTGAGGGAGTCATTAATCTAACAGTCTACCATAGGTTGTCAAATGTAGGAAAAGAAATAAAAATTCACAGAATTTCCTAGAACTTCCTTTACTCAAGATGCAGTGTTTTAAATAAGAGATCCACCAACGGATGGCTGTGGGCTACACCTAACCTCCAACCTAATTCTGTAAATAAATTTATCAGAAACCACCCATATGCATTGATTTGTGTATAGACTCTGGCTGTCTTCATGCTAAAATGACAGAGTTAAGAAGTTGCGACATAGATTGTATGCTCTGCAAACTTTTGACCTATTTACTCCCTGATCTTTCCTAGGACAAATTTGTTGACCCTAGTGTCAGAGAGTTATAAGAAAGCCAAATGATTTGGGGACAGGGAGGGTAAAATAATCAGACAATCACTTTCAAGAAACATATAGTCTAGCAAGGGACAGAAGGTGGTAGGCACAATTTCTCTTGCTCAATTCATGTAAACAAATTGCCAGATGAAAATCAGTTCTGGAATTATTACAAAGATTGGGGCTAATCCTAATGACTCTATTTACAAAGTTCACCAAATTCCTTTCTGAGAGGGTTGTTTTACCCAGCCTTGGCCACCTACCCAGCTGCTCTCCACACATCCTAGACCTTTCAAGAATTATGGAGAAGTAGTTACTTGTCATACACAAGAGAACAAAGCGGGAGTCCCAGCTTTAATAGGGATTTCCCTTCCTGTGCACTAAGCCTCATTCACACCCAATAGGAGGGCAGTGCTGCTTTTAAACCCCATTTCACATTTTAAACCAATTCTGTTAAGCATGACTTCAGCTGTCACTTCTTGTTATTTTTGGAGATGCTTGATGCTCATAGGTTTGAAATACCCCATCCATTTGTTCAATGGGTTTCTGATAACTATCCCTGCCCAATGGTATGAAGTTGACACCAATTATGCAGCTGGCTGCCTTAATGATGGAATATTTTAAAATGGGCTACGATGCCATCTAGTTACAATTGTTCTTTTTCTTACCGCGTCTAGATACTGGAACTTATTATTCTACAAACCCAGCGCTTCAAAGTTGATGAGATTTTTACTGCTGCTGCAAATGATGAAGGAAGGGAGAATTTAGGAGTGAAGACAGTTGCGAGGAGGCCCACGGCTGTCCGCGCTGCTGATGTGGTCTGTAACCCCACTGGAATCAAGAGAAGCAGGCTTTTCAAACCTTTGCTGCATAAACCTTGTTATCGCTGAAATAGACCACTTGAGATAGAGGTGCCGATGGATTTGCTGCTGATGACAGCTCACCAGGACCCAGCTCTCCATTCAGGTACATTGATATGCATATTCACTCTACTGGAAAAAAATCATCTCCTCTTCTACCCTGGGACATGGCTTCTGTAGGTTCTGGAATCTGCTATTTTATACCCACCTGCTGGTACAATATAAACAGCTGCAATAGGCATCAAGCTATGAAAAGCTCCGAGGAGCACTATTGCAGTGTGAATTGCTTCCTCGCTCTGTACTGTTTGGTGATTGTAAGATGGATTGCCAGGTTAGCAAAGGCACGTAGTGTTTGTGTAAGGAACAGGGAGGGTGATTTTCCTGGCCTCTCCTACTTGCTATTTCATACCAGTCCCTCTGCTACCTATAAAAAAATGAGGTATTTGTTAATGTTTTGTTCAAATTCAAAGGCCAAAATCACTGACTTGAGCCCCAAGTAAAACTACTTTGTTTTCTTCTTCCTTCAAACTCCCAGATAAGAACTCTTGATGCTTCTGTCAGCGAGGCTCCTGGCCCATGCCATTGCTGGCTCATGGAAGCTTCCAGCACAGCAGTCTGCTGACCCTCAATGCTTTCTATCAGGAACCAACTGAATTAGCATAGCTACCTTCTCTAAATACAGAAAGTTATTTCCAAAGCACAAAAGCAAGTTGACAAAAGAATACAGTCAACTGGGAAATGCAGAGCCTGCCTCATTCTTTGGGAGAGTTGTGCAGCCGTGTGGGTAATCTGTGTTAACATCTTGTCTTCCACACGTTGACCTCACTTTGATTCAGACATTCTAGAAAAGGATTCATTTCTTCTCCATTTCAAAGCTGTTTATCTGGCTTAGAAAATAGCTGTTTTAAACAGAAGCCTTTACACTTGTCTGGGTAAATTCTGTTCCAATTTTTGTTTTGGCCACAAGTCAAAGATAACAGCTGTGTGCTTGTGGGTTCACTGAACTCTACATGCTCATTGGCTGCACGGCTGGCCAGAGGCAATAACCAATAATTAGAACATTTCGGGTCATCTTGGGAAGAACAGAGTTTTCTCATGTTTGGAAAGGTGATGTGACCTCCCTCTGATTTTCCCAAATGTAGATCTGTTGGTGCCTGAATGCGGAGCTGAATGCACAAGCCTGGAGCTGTTACCATCGTGTCCTCCCTTTCCCAAAATAGCACCTGAAAAATGGAGGCTGAACACAATGTTTAATGTTTTTCAGCTTCACTATGCTCTAAAATGGGCCTGAGCTGTGATAATAAGTGAAAGTACTCGGATAGTCCCAGCACATCAGCATTTCTGATCATAATGATTTGTGACTCAGACCTTGAGAGCTGTGGGATTTCTTTCTAGTTGAATCAATACAAGTTTACATAAATATATGTTTCTGTTTTCCTTTTGTTCTTGCTTCAGCATTCATGTTTACTTGCTGGCAAGTATATACAATGGGAGGGTGAGAGGGAAAGAAATGGAGCGAAAGATGACTCAGAAGAAATTATTTGAGTGGGTTCAAATTTCTTTCCTGATTATGACTTTTTAGTGAGCCTATTTGTTTTGCTTATAAGGGGGAACACACTGGAATTTTCCTTTGAAAAGATAAAATTTATCCTAGGCATTTAAGAGATATAACCACTCATCTATTACCCTGATTCTAAACTGTAGCCATCCTTGCAGAGCAAACTGTATCAGAGTGTTCGATGTGTTGGGGAGTTTTGTATTGGAGACATGTATCCCAAAACATTATTCAACAGTCATGTATGGTTGATTTGCTACTGATACAAGGAGGTAAGAGAGCATTCACCCCACTTTTAAAATCTGCCTCATTCAAGGGGATAAGCCTCAAGATAACAGTGTGTGATCATTTCCTGCACGGTGGGAAGATAGGAAGACCTTTCACTTCCACTTGAATAACCACAAAGATGAAGAAGAGGCCACCTTATTAAAGAATTATCTGTGGCACAGATTCTATTACCAAATATTATCCCTTCCTCGCCCTCCTGGTCTCACCTGCTTTTGCAAGTGCCCCAGGCACAGGACTGGTAGCTGCTTTCTATGACTCGTGCAATTTGTGAAATGTAGAAACTCAGCTCACTAAGGTCACAAACGGGATCTGAAATTGAGACTTTCCCTCAACAAACTATGGGCCACTCAGGGGCTGCTCAAGGTTGAGCTGGGAAGGTGACCATCTCTTACTAAGTTGTCCCTATTTCTTATTTGCCAGAGGCAGTTCTGAGCATGTTATAGCTTCTTAATGTGAGTTCGAACCCAAGACTCTTGACCTGAAGCATTTCTGACTTCCTTATCTGTAAGTCACATTTCAACAAGAAATTAATTAAGTTATTGGGAAATGAATATTACTTAACATACGTACATTTTCTCTGAGTTTATTTAGGTAAAGACCAGCTACCTATAGATATTTGGATCGAATATCCACATATTTTCCATTTATTTCTATAAGAATTTTTATAATGGTATTTTAGTTCCAAAGGGAAACATTAGAACTCATTTGAAGTTTAGATAATTATATTATGTTCACTCTGTTGATTAGGATATGATCAGCTAAACAGGTTTTTGAAGTGCAGTCTAGATCAGAGCTGATATCACTAGCTGGTAACAAAATATTTTGCCCCCAAAGCAAATATCCACTTCATGAGCCCACCTGGAATGGGTATATTTGGAGCATAGGATGCACACCACGCTTTACAGCCAGTGTACCCTGTAGGCTGTTTCCCAAACTGGTCCTGAGAACAAAGGATGGAATGAGCCAGGATGGTTGAAATTTTATTTCTTCAGAAATGGCATGTGTGTATTCTACTGGAGGAGATAGAGCAGCGCGATTCTTCCTGAAACAAGACACAGATATGTCACCAGGTTTCGGAGCCACATTTCCTGTCTGTTTAGAGCACCCCTTAGGATTGAATGAGCTAAGGGAGGTGGTAGGGAAAATTCATTGAATCCCACATATTCCTGAGCTTGCAAATTATTTTCAGTGTCAAGATTTAGAACTCCAGGAAAAGACAGGAAAGTGTGCAGAAGGGATTTTTTTTTCCTCCTCAGCATTTCTAGCAATGAACTGATTGGTTTGAGAAATTAGCTGTCTTATCGAGAGTTAGGTGTAGCATCATAAACAGCACTTTGAGTAAGCCTTTGTTTCTTATATGCTGGCCTTTAAATCGTGGACACTCTCCAGCAGCTCTCTCATTTTCTTTAGGGTATTGTCACATAGGGGATAGTAAACAGATTGTGGGTCTCTACCTAGTAATATGTTTCATCTGATTAATTTTTACTTTAGTGCCTTTTCTTGCCTCAAAGTACCTTTATCTCCTTCCCTTCTGGCAACATCACATAGGTGCTCATTTAATGATGAGAAAGCACCTCTGGAACATCTTCTGTTGCATGAACCTAAATGAATCTAATGACTAATGCAGACTAGATCTCCTGATACTAGGGAATAAATAATGGTTCAGTTTTCCAGAGCCTGAGTGAGAAAATCACAGACTTTTGTATTAGAGAAATAGAAGTTAATTCTCTTATATATTTTCATCTAGATACTATTAATGATAATCACCATTGTTAGTCTCATTTTATTCCTACATGGAAGTCATTCTACCTGACGATCTACATTATGAAAAACAGAGCAGGCATAAATCGCTAGATTTGGGATAGGCAGTCATGGCTTAGTGACAGAACCAATTCCCTACTTCCCACTCGGCCTTTTACTGTAAGTCATTAGTCCCGTAACAGTGCTTAGGAAGGCTGTCTTCAGCATAGGGAAAAAAAGTAAGGAAATGAGATTTTAAAGCTACCTACAATTTCTCAGGCCCTATGCTAGCTGCTTTTTAATTGTTTCATCTTATTTAATGCTCATAGTGACTGGTTCCATTTTACAGGTGAGAGAGTCAAATAAAATAAAATTGGGGACCAAAAGGAGGAGGATCTGTGCTTTCTGTTGTTCCTTGAGTTTTTAGGTTAATAGCTTTCTGTTTTGGGGATGACAGTGGTTCCCTTGGGGCTTTTGGAGGTGGGAGAGTGGTGGTTGGTAGAGCGATTGGGAGTGCTTCTGTCCGGGAGGCCATAGGGGCACTGTTGAATGCTTTGGGTGTGACTTCTTTTTGCGATCCAAAGGGAGCACAGGAGACAGGTTACTGGGGAAGATTTCTGCTCAGGGTGTATGACAACACAGTCAACTCCAGAGCTCTCAAAGATTGCAGACACAGAGCGATCCAGCACCTACTAGGCACATCTCTGAGCCAGACACTGTTTTAATGATGTGACATGTATCAAAGCACGTAGCCCTTAGGACCCACATGGGAGAAGATGATATCATTGTTGTTTTATAAAATTGAAAACGGAGGAAGTGATCAAGTAGAACAAAGGTTGAATGATTTGTCAAAGGCCAGGAAACCAGTAAATAGTGGAATTGGGGTTCAATCCAAAGCAGGATGCCTTCAGAGTTGCTATTCTTTATCGCTTATTACCTTGCCCCCCAAGCCCTTCAGAACTGCCTTTGGTTAAGGAGACATTTTTGTGATGAGGCTTCTACTGCCATGACTCTTGCCCTTCTCCTCCTGCCAGTGCTTTCTCCTGACTTACTCTGGGAGAATGTCTCCCTCTCTCTTAGAGGGACTTTGACTCTCTGAGAATCCTGCATCTTGGCTACTTTTCTCTTGTTGCTAGGACAAAAAACCCAACACCCAAAACGGAGGAAGGAAAAGTATATTTAGCTCATTGTTTGTGGAAGTTGCAGTCCATAATTGGCTGGCTCCAAAGCAGGGTGGCACGGGACAGTGCAACATTTAAAGGCAGCAGCAAACAAAATTATATTGTATGCAGGCCAGCCCCCCACTCCAAGGTGGTTATATCAGTGACAGAAATCTCTGTGTCCTCCTCTTGCACAGGATGAGGATATTTACAAAGTAAGGATCCTAGTTCCTGGCTGAGTCAGTTAAACCTCTAAACTTCTCAAGTTGACACAATGTATCAACCATAACACCCTGATTCCCCTTGTTTTCAGAACCTTTGGAATTCAAATTGTTAGTAACTAATAAGCTAGTATCTTTTTCTTTTTTGAAGGGCAAGAAAGTGTCAATCTTTAAATTTTCTGGGAAGTGAAATGTTTGCATTCTGTCCTTTTTATCTATCAAAAAAGTAAAAATAAAAGCAACAAACAGTTGAGTACAGATAACTCAGAGATAATCAAAGGGAAGTTCACAAAAAATAAAGCAACAGCTTATGCTCTGATCATTGCCTGGGTTATATTTACATAATTATTTTACAAACTACCTGGCTGCATATAGATCTCATTTCTAGGACTAATTTCCAGTTCATGTAGTAGAAGTGAGAAACAGTGGATGTGGGGTAGATATTCATTGCAGTGTTTTGCAGGAAAAATCACTTAATAAAATATATTTTCAATAATTGTTATTAAAGCCTCAGACAACTAAGGAATTGGCTGTGCTGTTTGCATTTTAACTCTACCTTGCAGTGACTGGTAACATCTTCAGCCAGAGGGACTTTCCTTGCTCTGACAGCCCCTCAGAACCTGTCAAGGTGGCCCACTTCATTCTAATTTTTCTAAAGAGGCTAAGAAGGTGCCTTTATATACCTACTTTTAGAAGCAATTTTGCGAAGTTTCACGGAGAATAGAATATTTTCTAGAAGTAAGATAAGGAAGCATGCAATGGAAATACATTAGAAACCAACAGGATGGAACGTTAAGTATGTAGAAAGGGGAATGAAGGAAAGAAAAAAGATAAACTGAGTAAAATGATGAAGCTATTTAGATTGAAAATAGCAAGCCTTGAAGATAGGGTGATTACTGGGTGTTAGATGAAAAGCTGTCACATTTATAGTTTTTATCTTTTCAAGTTGATAGTATTAAGAAAGGGTAAAGAGAGTCACTTGGACTGAGGAGGAAACACAACAAACACACACACACACACACACACACACACACACACACACACACACACATCAGAGACAAAGATGTGTAAGTGTTGACCAAAAAGGCTTTAAAGTAATATAAACACAAATCTCAGTCTGACCAGGCACATAGCAAATCTTAATTTCACAGATGATAATAACATCAAAGACACCAACCATATATATAATCATATACATTGTGGGTACATCAGTTAGGAAGACTTGAACCTCTGAGTCAGAGGATACCTATCAGCTGACTAAACAGCAACTGAAAACTGCTAAGCAAAGCTTGAAAACAGAGTACCAGCCTCTGAAGAGACTTTCAGTAATTCTATTTTTCAGTTCTTCTGTAAACAAATCTTTCTTAGGCATCTATTCTGTTAGGCACTAGACAAGCCGCAACGCTAAAGTTTCAGAATAACCTTTAACCTCCAAATGGGTTACGGCTGTTTAATTTTTGCAGATCTTGCTTTAAATAGAATATCTTACATCCTAGTATATAGACATAGGTGATTCATTTTTAATTAAAATTCATTGTTATATAACTAGTGCTCATATTTTTGTAAGGATATTTGTAGTGATAATATTTGTGTGACTTAGCATTTCATAGGTATGACAAAGTGAGATAAATCTCCTTCAAAAAAAGGAAACGTTTTCTCTGGCTTACAGTCTCAGAGTTTTCATTTCTAAATTTAAGCAAACAAACAAAACACCAGCGTGGCCAATGTGTGTAGTAGAGGAAACCTGCTGATGTCACAGTGACCATGAATCAACAAGACACAGGAAGGAACCAGGGTTCCAATATTCTCGTTAATGCTATGGCCCAGTGATCCAACTTCTGCCACTTGGGCCCCAGCTCCTAGAGTTTCTGTCACCTGCTAACAGTGCTATGCCTTCAGCATGTGAACTTTTGCATGATATTTAAAATCTAAACCATAACAAGATCATCAGGGATAATTTTGAAATCTTAAAGAAACATGCTGAACTATAATTTCCAAGGAATGGTGTATGCTAAGCAATCGATGATATTTATTCTAGTTTTAGGCATACAACATAGGAAGCAATTAATAATTTTCTAAAATGTATGTATGAAATATGACTTACTGGCATGAGCTATTTTGTGTATCTTCCCAATAGTGGGAGAATATTTATAGATTACTTAATGTTGGTCTCAGGCAAGTGATATGCTTTGGCTAATGGGTTGTTTGCACAGAGGCTTGAAATGTGCTGACAAAGTGACCTTGTCCTCTTGAAAATAAACCATTTTCCAAAAGAAGAACAAGCTCCAACTAGTCTTCTCATCTAAAGTCAATAAAAGACACAAGGACCAACTAACTTGAAGCTTGGAGTTAAACCCAACTTAGTTCAACCCAGATCTGCTAATTCCAAAGTTTCTCTCAGACACCCATGTGAGAAGATATAAAATGTGTTTATTACATAGCAAAAGTTAACTGACACAAGATAACTACCAAATA